GAATAAGCATGCATCGGACTGTCTTACGCGCGTAAGACTGCCCGCCGCGCTTCGCGCGCTAACGGTGTTACCCATAGCGACATATGGGAGGAGCTAATATAACAGCATATACTATAACATATACATATTAAAATGTAATTGTGTGAAGCGCGCCGGGCTGTCCTACGCGCGTAAGACAGCCTGATGCACGCTTCTTCGCGGATTTTTGTTACTTAAAATCTCGGTAACTATTGCGAATCTAGCAAAATGGTATAGGACTTTTCACCTCAATTTTATTCCTTTTACCTGTGTACGAGAGATGTTACACCAATTCTGGGACACCCTGTACATAAGAAAAAGAGAGAGAGAGAGAGAGAGAGACAGAGGTAGTAACTTTAGAATACACTAAAGGTTTTGTGATAGATATTAATAAAATATGTACAATTTACTTTTGTCAAATTTAAAGAAACATGCATCTGTTTGATTTTTTTCATAAATATACTACAACTTTTTATACAACCTTTTATAAATATACTACAAAATGTACGGTAATAGCGAATAATTTTAAATAGGTCACTTTTAAATTATATAACTTATAATGTTAATACACATTTTGTTTTGAGGTTTTTTTTGTTTATAGATGAAAAGAAAATATGCTCAAGCTTCTAAAGCCAATGCTAAACGTTTCTGTGAAGCTGAAATCCAAGATCAGTTGATCGAGATAGAAACTATATTAAACGAATTGGATGGAGTTCAAAATCTCTCTCATATTTTACCTATGCATATTGAAAAAATCAATAACATTCAAGATAATGACTTAATTGTTGAAGATTGTTATAAAATCCACCATACAACACAAATCATGAAAATATTGAATGTAGTGAACACAGTGACAAATCAGAAGATGAAACTAGAATTGAAATAGATAATTTTGATATAGAATATTTAAGAGATCGCCCTGTTCATGAAATAGAGGCATATTTATTGAACTTCTTATCAGAATGGGGTGCTCGAGATATATCATTCAAAAAAATAGACAAACTTTTAGCAGGGTTGCGAGTTATTTGGTTTGCCAAAATCTTATAAAACAATTATTCTCACTAACATACAAAGATGTTTTTTCGGGTTTGAACCGCGTTAGTGTCATTTTAATACCGACGTTTCGTGAACATTACAGCTCACTTCATCAGGGTTTGAAGAGCAGCTTGATACTGAGATGCTCTTGGTCAGGTGTCCCTTTTTATAGCGCTAGATTAAAGTGGAAGGGGTGTGGTGGAGGAGGGGTGGAATGGTAAGAAGGAGGGGAGCATGTGTTTATGGCAAGATGGAATGCCATAGTGAACTAGTCATATGTCCATTGTCTCTATTGAGATTGTTTGGATGTTTGTATATCTCCAGAGATTCTGTATATTTTCTAGGAAAGTAAGCCCTAGTTTTGTTTAGTACTTGAGTTTGGTCAAACATAATTTTGTGACCAGTTTCCAAATGGTGTTCTGCTAATGCCGATTGTGAGTAATGTTTTAGACGTACTGCCGACTGATGTTCTTTTAGTCGTGTACTTATCATTCTACCAGTTTCACCTATGTATACTTTACCGCATGAACAAGATATTTTGTACACTCCTGGTGTATCTAATAGCGGTCTTTTGTCTTTTAGATTGTTAAGAATCTGTCCTAGTTAATTCGGTGGTTTGTAGACCGTTTGTATGTTGTGTTTGTTCAGGATTCTGCCAATCTTATCTGTGACACCCTTTATGTATGGGAGGTAAGTGGTTCGTTTCTTTAAGTTTGTTGTTTGTTCTGGTGCTGGAGTATTTTGAGAGGTGGTAGAGGGTTTATTTTGATGTTTTTTAATTAAAAACATTATTAACCTGACATCTTAGTCAGTTTTGATATTGTGACTTGTTTAATAAACCATATCTTTCATTTTCGATTTTTAATTCACGTAGTCCGGGAACTTTCCGGACAAACTGTGTATAATTAAAAATGGTACATAAATTATGATAGAGTCAAAAGAGCCATACAATGTTATGTAAAGTAGAAGATAATATGTCATTATCACACAAAAATAAAAGAAAAAAATTTATAATATAAACGGTAAATAAAACGTATTCTTTTAAAATCTTTTGTGAACATTATAACGATCTAATTTTTTCACAAAAGAATTTGAAATAATAAGATCTATTAATCATTATAATACATTTTTATTTTTATTTTTTTTTTTTGACAATATAATAACTAATCATTTATTTATCTTATATTTAATATTTATATTGTTTATATTTCGTAATTTTTATATCTACACAGATTTAGAATTTTTACTTATATTAAATATGTATGTTGTTTAATTATGTTAAATGTGTATATATTATGTTTAATTTAATTATGGTTTTCAATGGATATTTAATCAAAATAATTATATTTTCTATAAATTAGTTTAATTTATACTATTATAGTTGTTACAGAACAGTTAAAATGTGTTCCACTATTTTATGTTAATTTAAAACTAAACTTGTATAATTAATTAAATCCTATTTGTTTTTGTTTATTTTAATAGAGCAAAAGGTTTTTTATTAATAACGTATTTTATTTAATAGGTAATTATATTTTAGATGCCCCAGCTAGACAATTTGTCAAAGGCATTCACAATCATAACAGTGCATTTAGCTGCGAAAAATGCACAGTTGAAGGCGTTAGACATAGAAATCGTCAAGTGTTTTTACGCGATAATGCATCTCTACGTACAAATGAATCATTTCAAAATAGAGACCAACCAGAACATCATAAGTATAATTCGCCTTTAGAATGTGATTTGCAATGGTGGAATGGTATCTACATTCAGGCTTGATCCGATGCATCTCA